GAGGGTAACCTTCAATTTAAGGGCTTCTCTAAGAAGTCAAGTGGAAGTGCAATATTAAAAATCAGTAGAGTTGTTCTAGTAATGAATGTCTATTTAAGATTTGTGTCACAATTGGAGATATGTATTGAACACTGTGTATGGTAAGCTTGTCATTGTGGTTGTACTTAGAGTTTATGCTGTACATTTTAACAAACTTGTACTTAGGTGACTTACTGAAAATGCTGCTGGTTATAATAATATAGGGTCATAAGCATATGATGCATTTTTAACTTCCCCTAGGTTCAGTTATATTGTCTGATTTTTTTGTAGATATGTTTCTCCATTCACTAACATGGAAATTTCTATATAAAGGATCTGACTGCTGAATCAGAGCAAGGTCAGGTAGCTACTCAAGATATCTGCAGAGGTTTCTTCTGATTCTGGAGCTTTACAGGAAGATAAAGTTGGCAAAGGGAAGGATGATGAAGAAAATGATGCTGAAAGAAGAGGAGAAAATGAGAAGGATAAAGTTAAAGGTCTTGGAAGAACAAAACTTGATGCTTTGCTACAGAGGCTTCCAAGCTGTGTGAGCCGTGACTTGATTGATCGGTTGACTGTGACCATCCTGCTTTTTCAAGCTTTCATGTGTATTTACTTTTCATTTAATACATCTTTAGTTGAAGCTCTTATTATTTGAATACTAATTTTTCAGGTAGAGTTTTGTTATTTAAACTAAAAGGCCAACAGGAAAAAGCTTGTGAGGGCTTTGTTCAATGTTCCTAGGACATCTCTTGAGCTATTGCCGTACTATTCACGAATGGTCGCCACACTGTCAACTTGTATGAAGCATATCTGTTCCATGCTTTTACCTTTGTCAATCACATTCTATTAACTATTTTTTTATATCATTCTATTTGTTATTGATTGCAGGATAAAATGAACATCGAAATGAAGATCAGGAACATACGTTTTATTGGAGAACTTTGGAAATTTAAAATTGCATCAGTGGGCCTTGTGTTATCGGTTGTCTAAAGGTATGATAACAGAGTATTTGATAAATACTTCCAGGTTACTGTTCCTGTAATTTTGTGGGTTTGCTGTCTCTATGCACACAACATACACAATTTACTCCACATTTTAAATCATGTGCTCTCATTTACATAACTGGTTCTCCCCTCCCTCCAAGGATCCACACATACACAACATTGTGCAGGGAAGCTTATATCCATCACTGTAGTGTATTGGGCATTATGAGTGAACTTTATGCTGCATGGTTGACATCCAATGAGGGCATCATTGATAGTTCTTTTATACTTGTCCTGAACTCATTTGACTATTTGGTTCCTTACTGAATGGACTTGTTTCACTTATATCAGGCTTGTTTAGATGATTTTACTCATCATAATATTGATGTTGCTTGCAAACTTCTTGAGACGTGGTCGCTTCCTCTATCAGTCTCCTGAGACTACTGTACGCATTTCTAACATGTTAGAGTTATTGATGCGCTTGAAAAATGTCAAAAATTTGGATCCTCGTCAGAGCACTTTAGTGGAGAATGCTTATTACTTGTGCGAACCACCAGAAAGATCAGCCCTGGTCTCTAAAGTTCGTCCTCCACTGCATCAGGTAGTCATGCTTTTTGGATCAGTGAATTTGCCGTACAATCTGAGTGAATAGAGTGTTAACCTTTTCTATGGTGAAATTGCAGTACATTAGGAAACTTCTTTTTTCGGATCTTGATAATTCTACGATTGAGCACGTGCTGAGACAGTTATGTAAACTACCTTGGACTGAATGTGAACCATACATTTTGAAGTGTTTCTTGAAGGTTCATAAGGGAAAATATGGTCAGATTCAT